GTACAAGGAAGTTGGAAACACACTGCCTTTGGTATTTTTGTTTACTTTGTAAATAACTCAGATTGGTGGGTCAGTTAAGATGCTGTGACAGGTGTTGACGAGGTATTCAGTTATGGCACTTCTCTCTTAATCTCCTTCGTTATTATGTGGAATTAAATAATAATTTCACCTATGTAAGCTAATGTATATAAATGCGACTGTACATCTTTTGAGGAAGAAGTTGAGATGATATCTTTGCTAAACTATTAAATTGTCAAATATAAATTTACGAAATACTCCGATCGCTGATTCCAATCCGTCTGTTTCAAATGAAGCAATATTCGTAAGTTAAAGTTCTTCTTTCACATCTCCTTTTGCTTCCTGCAATTTCACCTTCATGTCATCTAAGTACCTTAAAAAAAGCATCTACTGTTGCACTTTTTGAGTCATATGGTCGCTCTTTTATCTTGATCTATCGAATAAATAAGTACTTTTGTATATCTACCACCAATTTAACGCTATTCTTATGTCACTGAACTAATAATGGCGAACTTTTATTCTGATGCCCTGTGTCGATGGATTCCAATTCAACCGTCAGCTAGTGATGGACTTGCTTAAGTAGGATTATACTTGCCTCGCATGTCAGCGCCAATAAAAAGCTTTAAACGTTGAAATAGACTTTTTCCATCTTCTTTTGATCTTCACTGTTTCTTTAGTATAGTATCAATTATTGACCAACTAATTCTATAACATGAAAATTTTCCAACCATAAAAGTGAAAAACACGGACTGTTGGATTCCCTGTATTTTATAGTGTTTCATAAAATATATAAAATACCATTTCAAAGTTAGAATTTTATCGCCTAAAAGTAGATTGAGGTTCTGTATTCTTAATTAGGAGCACTTAGCGTTTTGTTTGCTGATCATATTTGTATCTGATTTTAATTCTCCATTACTTTAATTAAATTTTTACAGTTGTAAGAATTTTTCTACTCAAATAAAACTTGTTTTTCATACGATTCTTATGACAAATTAATTAATGAAATGTGGAGACTTAGTACTTGTTTACGGCGAATGTTCTACAGAGTGAAAGGCCTCCAGGTGGCAAATGGTTATCCGAGATGCTGGAGCCTGTGAGACGACAACTCTGTAAGTACTCTCTACGAGATACTTTTGAATTTATTGAGTGCATAAAAGACTTGAATGTAAATGGCAAACGAATGTTATCACTGGACGTGGAATCCCTATTTACGAATGTGCCGCTCACAGACACAATTTGTTTCCTTTGCAAGTATATTGATGACAAAATTCTGAGTATCGGAATACCAACCTCATACCTAAAACAGTTGTCATTAAGATGCACACTCAACGTATAATTTACGTTCAACGACGTCATCTATAGACAGAAAGACCGGATTGCTATGGGCTCTCTCCTTGGCCCACTCTTAGCAGACTACTTCATGGCCAGCATGGAAAACAGCATCCTTAAACCAACAATGAACAAATTGCTGCTGTACAAAAGATACGTCGATGACACTTTTAAAGTTTGTCAAGATGATTCCGATTTAAATTGTATCTTACACGAGTTTAATAACTGTCATCCTTCAATTAAATTCACAATGGAAGTTGAAAATAAATCAAAGATTCCATTCTTGGACGTCGAATTGACAAGAAGAGATGACGGAACTCTGAAAAGATCTATCCATAGAAAACCAACATGGAATGGCCAGCTGACAAACTTCTACAGTTGGATACCTATCAGCCGTAAAAGAGCTCTCATCATCTCGCTAGCCCACCGCACCAGAAGAATTTGTAGTGATGACTGTTTAGAAGAAGAGCTCCTATTCCTAAAAAGCATCCTGGTTCAAAATGGATACCCGCCGCGTTTCGTGGAGAAGAACATGAAACCAAGGCCAAAAAGAGAAGAATACACTTCAGTGCAAAAGAAGACACTCTATTTGAATCTGGAATTCAGGGGAGACCTAGCAGCAGATGTCCTTAAAAGGAGAATCTCCAAATCCCTGAAGAAGACTTTTCCGGCAGCAACTCTAAGAGTGATATTCTCTAGCCGCCCACTACTTCGGAGCAATGGGAAGGATAGACTTCCGCATATGACCACTTCAATGTGCATATATCAGTTCACCTGCTCTTGCGGAGCTAGGTACATAGGTCGTTCTATGCGGGTCTTATCAAAACGTGTTAGAGAACATCATCCAGCATGGTTGCAAAGAGGAGGCACTGGTTCAATCAGAAGTGCAATAACTGAACATCTTGTCAATACCTGCCACAGAATCTCAACCGACTCATCATTTAGAGTCATTTACAAAGTAAACAAAAATCTGCCAAAGACAGTGTGCTTCCGACTTCTTTGTACTGCGGAAGCTCTCGCCATATGCATAGAAAAGCCGGAGCTATGTGTTCAAAAGAAACTAGTCCAGCCTTTACAACTACCATGGACCTAGTTCGGTATGTTCCCTTATCCTTCAGTTTTTTGTTTTGTTATCTGTGTGTGTAATTTTCTCTCTTTACCTTCATTCAATTCATCCTATTTTTTCAGTTATAAAATCAGTTATTTTAAGTTTGTTCCCATGCTCCTCCTGATCACACTTGTAATCCGTTTAGAATAACCATTTTACAATTATATTCTAATCCTGTGTAATTTTTGTTTCTATGCCTCTTGTAATCTATATTCACACCTCCTAACTTACATTTCAAGTTGAAAATTTTGATCTCAATTTGTTTCCATGCTCATTTTGTTCACACCTGTAATTCGTTCTAAGCCTCTTGTAATTCATATCAAGTTGAAAACAATTATCACCTTTTATTCGCCTTGAAAACTATTTCTCCAGTTATCAAATATTAATTTTGCATACGTTGTAACTGTTATCTAATCCTAGGCAATCTTGTCTCTAAGCCCTTTGTAATTTATATTCGTACCTTCAAACTTTCATATCAAGTTGAAAATTATTATCACCTTCGTTACTATTTGCAATTAAACGAATAAGAATTGTATCCATGTAAACTTATCTATATAAATGCGATTGTACAGCTCTTGAGAATGAAATCGCCGAAAAGATATCTTTGTTAACCTTCTTGTTGTCCTCAATCTAATGTTTCAATGGGTATTTTCCACGATTTCATTTTGTGGAGCGGTGAGTGGTGCTGTCTTCTAGGGTTTTGACAGTAAGACAACTAAAGTGTTGCTATTTCATCTCAGGGGTTGTAGTAGTTCCAGATGGTAACAAGTTTATGTATAGCAGCAATATGTTGCCTACCACGGATCATAAGTCAGTATATTTCTTAATTATATGAAAGCTTAATCAGAATGTAGTCTCGCACATTAAATTTGCATCATCCGCTAGATAAATGAAAGACATAAAGATCTGAGCAGTATGTTTAGACCTGGTTATTTGTAAAGTATAGGACTTTGGGTTATATCTCATCATATTTTCTTTTGAAAATCCAAGATATTCAAAAAACAGTATACAGCTGTCTGACGAGTTGAATAATCCTATTATAAAAGAAGGGGAATTTCAACACAAGGCTTATTTGTGGTTGTCTTGTAAAGCATTTCCACTGACCATTGAACTCATCCGGTCAAATCGACGTATTTACACCACCATTTCAATATTTACCAGTGTTTATAGCCCTGAATACTGAGCGTAAATTGTACGCAAATCACATAGCATAACTATTTATTCCGGGCTTATTTTATTACTGTCTCTTGGATTTAGCATATCAACAATTACATCAGAGTGCAGAATTCCAATGTCTACAAAATATAACCAGATATGTATGAAAAGCATCTTTTTTTATTCCTTCACGTTCCCAGTGGAACATAGGGCTTCAAGCTAGAGGCTTGAAGTTTCTGCAGCAGTGTTTATTTTTACAGGATGGAGTTGCTAGCCACATGCCCAACCTTTCCTCTTCACCAGCTTTTAGTTCTGGCTTAGTGAGGTAAATAAGTGCGCCGGCCGGGGATCGAACCTCGAACCATGGCGAGCGTCCTGACCGCTATGCCACCGACGCACTGCCTGTATAATAATGCTAACTTGTATTTAAAAATCACCGGAATCAAGGAAACTATCCTAGTTGACTCTTGAATAGTGAACCTGTAATATTGAAAGACATCATTGTTAATACTGCTTCGAGTTAAGTTATATGACAGCTGGTCACATTCAATACATACTTACATATATGACTTGCTACTGTAAGTTAGCGAACGTCATATTCGCATAAAAACTGTTCTTACAATAACACCTAATATCTTGAAAGATGAGCTGAGGTAGAACACATTTATTATAGAATTTACATTGATACAGATAATTAGCATAAATGAAAAATTATATAATTTAGAAAAATAAAACAAGCATTTACAATTTATTCTAAATTACATCATTTTATAAAACCATATTTCACCTATAGATTACACTCATCGAACTATTTTGCTTTCATTTGAAAGCTAAACGTAATCTGGTGCTGCCTAAATTTCTCTCTCTCTCAAAACAACAAGGACCATATCCACTGAAATAGAGTGAGCACATATTTGAAAGACATAAGTTTAGTTACTTGAACAGAACATCAGTCATTGCAACATTGAAACAATGTAATAAGTATTCACACTGAATAATATTTGAGATGCTGAAGAATACTGTCCAGTTCCTTGCTGGTCCGATATTCGTCTCACTATAAAGTACTATCTGATGCTTCTTTTATACAAATGTGATAAAATGTCAATCCGTACTTGAAGATAAATCTTATTTATCATAATAGATCCATCATTCGGTGAAATATTTCTAGTTTAAATATTGGAAATTTTAATCTCCAGTGACAGTGTGCATTCAAAATGTAGGACTAATGTACAGGACAAACTCAAATGAGTAGTTGATCAACAAGGATAACTTCAAGATTTGAATAACAGCTCGTTTCCATTTACTTTTGTCATAGAAGGGCAAAACATTTATTTCTCTTAAATTTTTTCATTTGAAACTTGTTAACTTTTTGTCGAATTACCTACATGTAAATTAAATTCGAACATTCAGGAATGTATTTCCATTGTACACTTTGACACTGTCATTCAAACACTTATTACTGTCAGTGACTTCCGTTTCATGGGCCTTTAATATGATAATTTTTTTAGTTTATTTTCATTTTCCGATAAACCTTTGGAGAACTTGTCGTTTGTTCACACAATATTTCAGTCCATATTAATGGCGACTCGAATCCTATTCCAAAACTGATTTCACATGGTGAGAATAACTAAATTTCATATGAATGACACTGGCTTTTAAAATGGTGCTGACAATTATGTATTTTCTTTTGGTTTGATTACAAAAGGAAGAATTAATTTGTATCAAAATTAGACTTTGTACATGTAGATTCAAGTGATGAAACTTTATTAAGTTGTTTCTCATCCCATATATCATTAGGCAAGGGCATAATATTTGCTTTAATGAAACAATCATTTTGAACATCTGATAATTCACTTCGTTGATCACCAATGAATTCACTGTCACTAATAGACGTGGCGAAATGTTCAGTATCCTGTACTACATTTGGATTAATATTTATACTATAATCATGGGTTATTGGTAAAAAATTCCCCGGTAGTAAACATCCTCCAGTTCTACCTGTTAAGCTGGTCATTGGTAAATTTATAGAATCAGTAACAAAAATAAACGATGTTGGTACATGGGTTGAAATAACATGATTATTTTTAATAATTGATACTTGGCTGCATATTGGCTGCTTAGGTAAACAATCTGAAAGAGATGAAGACTGTTCAGAGCATTGAGTTGGACGTTTCGGTTTAACAGCACAGGGAATATCATCCATACTCAATAGAGAGCCGACTGAATTGCGACTTTTACTAATGACACTGTGGGAAATATAATTTTGATAGTTTTTACTGAATTTCATTTCGTTCGACGGTATACTATGTGAATTTGCATGTCTATTACGATGACATTTGTAAGCTAAAAGTGTCAAAGAGATAATCATAACTACTCCAGCACCAGCTAGGCTGACTAACAGCCATATGTTTACTTGTCCATGTATAGTATTCAGCTTAGTATAAAATTTCCACTTATTACTGCTAAGTTGACTTCCATTAGAAATTATTTCATTTGATGTAGTAAATTTATTTGTAACCATATTGTTATATAAGGATGATAATAAATAGGGAGAATCTGTGATAGGATAGAGTGTCGGTGACTTTTGTAGACTGCTTTCTGTAGTAATATCGGTGTTGTGCTCATTATTTTCCAAATAGTTCATTGCACTATCAGCAGGTACATTTGTAAAACCATGAACATCAGATTGATTTGAATCCATAGATAATGAACTAAAATATTTGAGAGCAAATAAATAGATAATTATAGTGTATAATACTCATGTTTATAAACCTAGGCTGCAACACATAGCACCTGTAAAGTATATTGGCGGAATGAAGAGAAGAAAAGAATTCAGAAAGCACAAATTAACTAGGTGTAACATTGACTGCCATTAGTTTAGCATTACAAAATGGCCACAAAAATGAAGGTTTGTTCTCCATTCTGGGAAGCAACTACAAGCTTTACCACTAAGGTAGACGACGTGATCTAAATTGAGCCAAAGTGAGGGCAAACAATCTGAAATAAATGGAATTAATACGCCATCCAGATAAAAATAGGCGTACAGGAGGAGTCATAAGTAAGCTAAGTACTTTAAAATGACAAACTAATTTGTATATCAACAGTATTTTTCTCTGGAAAGGGTTGTTATTAATTGCCTGTTGCTTTCCTTTCACGTCAGCTTCAAGAGTACTTTCAATTTTGATATCACTGAACTGTAGCTAACACGTGATTTACTTGAATACCTATATAAATTTAAGAAAACTTGTCTCTGGTTTTATTTCAAAGACACTATATTTCTCAACTATTTTAATATATTTTCCTGTATCGATTTCAACATGTAGGAGACCTTAAGTTTCAATCCTTATTTTTGTCAATTTCCCTCTGAAAGAAAAGTAATGATAATATTAGCGATAATGAATTTCAAAGAAAAGTGTTCATTAACTGTTAAAATGTGAAGCTACTTACTCTTCGACTAAATATAACTTAGTCATACGTGGTTGAAACTTTGGCACATATTTCACATTTCCATAACGTGTCACTTGGATAAATGATAAATACGACAAGCCTGCAGCCAAATCATTTAAAAGTAGACCATTATAATAGACACCTGAAGAGGTGAATTTAAAAGAGAATTATTCCTTAAGTTATTGCTGGAAATTCATATTGTAACAACAAACATGCAGTCATTATTATACAAACATTTATGTCCATGAAAGGTCTTTAAATGAACTTACACCAGTAAGAAGATTTTTAAAGATAGTGAAATGAACCAGTCAAAAAGCTTATCGCCTAACAAATATGCAGGAGAAAGTTGGGATGGCATATTCTGAGGAGCCAATCAACTGATATCCCATACCAGGACGGCCACCAAATAGAACTCAGATGAAAACGGACTATTCAGATGTCCGTGTGCGATATAGAGACGATAGTGTGAAGAGAAAGCGAAAGCTTGTGGGGTGATTGCGGAGCTGGCTGAAAATGATTACAGTGAAGCCAGTACAATGGAATGAATCTCTATATTCTACTAGAAATGTAGGGAATGAATAATAGTAAAAATTTGTTCCCAGGTGTCACTTGCTGACCACCGATCATGTCACGGTATTATTACTCTAAGAACTTTAACTAGACTCCAGTCTCTTTAATAAGCAATATATGTTCGCATTTATTTTCACGACTGACACAACCTACTGACACTGATTTACAAGTCAAGGCAAATAAGATTACCGCCAATATGTTGAATGAAGTCAAATATTAGTGTAACGGAATAATTGACCTGTAAACAATCTGTTTACAGAATTCACACATCTGAATGTTTCGACGAATTTTGTGAATACTATTCTGTTATCGTGACCATTATACGATAGGGCACGTCGTGGAGTGGCTAATTAACCTCGGACTATCTGCAGAAAGCGTGTTTCAATCTGTTTGGTATTTGTGTGCAGAGTTTTAATCCTATTTTGCCTGGAATACTCTTACTAATTCCCAGGTAGAGCATGGTTGTGTTTGGTCAGTTAATATTTACAAACAGTACGGCTTCTGTACCTTAGAATCTTTTGGACTGTCTAGTTGCTAGGAAACACCACTGAGTAACGCAGATTCTATCAAGCTAAATGTCTTTACACATTGCTGGAATATACTTTTTGACTGTATTTGACTCTTGGAAGATATAGAGAATAAGGCACCGATTGGTGTTTAGTATTCAGGCCGAAATACTTAGGATATTGTCATTACAGTTATAACACATTCATGCTTTGCAGTGTCACGTATAGACGACTATAAATAATGTTAAGATGCAGCAACTACGTAGTCTTGTCTGTAACTCAGATAGTATTGCCAGCAGTAATATATGCGATGAGGTCTACTGTTTTCCACATCATTTTTTCTCTGTTTTGGTCCAGCCTAGTCATCTGTTGGCCATAAGTTATTCATTCTTAGTTTCCGTCTGTATAACATTTATTCAGCTAGATGACATGCTCAGATGAAGCCATAGTCAACATATTTATCCAAAAGACATTCACATAAATCATTTTTATGGCTTATGTGTGAAATTAATTTAGATGTATGTGAAACTAGAGTGTCTAGAAAGTCCAGAATACACTATTCTTGGCATTTCCCTGTTTTTCATACTACTACTACCTTTATCAACAACTTTCTTCGTTCTATACTGAAGATCAGATGGCCGGAAAGAATCACAAACAAGAAACTATGGGAACAAACAAAACAAGAACCAATCGCTCAACAAATATGCAGGAGAAAGTGGAGATGGATTGGACACTCGCTGAGGAGGCCGTTGAGTGACATCGCGCGTCAAGCCCTCGAGTGGAACCCGAAAGGGAAGCGGTGAGTGGGACGTCCAAGGGTGACATGGAGGAGATCGTGTGAGGAGGAGATGAAACAGTATGGAATAATATGGACGCAAGTGAAAAGTACTGCAGAAGACATAAGCAAGTGGAGACGTGCAGTTGAAGCCCTATGTTCCACTAGGAACCCAAGGGAACAATAATAATAATATTTTATTTATTTCTAGGTAATTGTATCTGAATAGGTAATGTTAATTTTGTTTTCAGTAACTGCGTACCGACAGAAGCATTTTCCAGGCCTCTCAAGGCGAGAAAACAAGTCGAATTTTGAAGCGTATCCGCAGGTGATCAAAACCAAACCTTCCATGTGGGTTGATAAGCATTCAACTATTGGACCACCGTTGCAAGAAGTGGGAACGGTTACTTGAAATGTTTGTACACCTTACCTATCGGTTACTAATTATTGACAGAAGGAAATGTAGGCAAACTCTAATTAACACCTTTTATTCATTAAGATTAACAATCCCATTCTTTACCAATCAGCGACTTTTGAATTAAAAACTTCACGTTTATCTGAATATCTGCGATAATCATTAGTCGGCTAGCATCAGTGAGTTCTTCGTCAGGGTATTACAGTTATATCATATTTTATGAAGTAGAACTTCTTCACAGTTGAATTAATCAAGACTTAAACGGGCTGTTAGGCGATAATAAATGTCGTATAATCATAATTACTGTGAATAATTCACGTGGTCCACTTTTGTATATGTTGTCCATGTTCAAACAGATGTTTTCCTCAGGAATATGAAAATCTTGGTAACACATCAGTTAAATTTGATTTTTTTCCTTCACGTTCCCCAGTGGAACATGGGGCTTCAAGCTAAAGGCTCAAAGTTTCTGTAGCAGTGTTTATTTTTACAGGATGGGGTTGCTAGCTTCATGCCCAACCTTTCATCCCTGCTGGCTTTTATTACTGGCTTAGCGAGGTAAAGGAGTGCGTCGGCCAGGGATCGCACCCCGGACCATGTGCATAGTCGGCGAGCGTCCTAACTGCTATGCCACCAACGCACAATTAAATTTGATTACAGAAATACAATGCACTGATGAAGAAAACAAAGTACAAATGACCTACCTATACAATCCTTTCACCTGTTCATCTTAAAGTTAAATAGATGCTACCTTATATGTTCATTTTCATATACATTAACATGTTTATCTACGCTTGAGCAATTACCCACTTATAGCATCCATTGAAAAATATTTGTCAGTACATTCAAATGTGCTGTCAAGTTTGATTATTTAATAGCACAGAGTCACTGGTTACACTGTAACCTACTACGCATTCTTTAATATATTTCGTGAAAAGCATAATAATAAGAACCTATTTTATTCCAAAAACAGTACTTAGAATTCAAAATGAAATTCTCAGCATTTGTCACAATATTGCATCTGATTAACTTAAAATATAAATAAAATTAAAAGTTAAAACAAAATTAACCAGAGGAATTTATCCACATTTACGATATAAAGTCGAAAATATTCAAAGCACGAATTGAGAATATTAGATATAATAATAGTAATAATAATGATAGTGAGTTTGTTTCAAACAGTACTGTCGATTCAGTTTGGAAATTTTAGCATGTTATAGACTATTGGATCTAACGTTCTGTTGATATAGTATGGTGAGGGGAAGTACAAAATTAACAGTTATAATACAGCTTAAATGATTTTCACACTTATGAAAAAATAAACAAATAAAAACAAAACCTTGAGAGGATTATAAATATAAGAAGTACAATAACAATAAAGGTTGGTGTTGTAAGGGTGAAGGGAACGGTTTATTTGATAGTGTAAAGAAGTTGAGTTAGTTCGTGCCGAAAGCTATTTGCGTTATATAAAGTGAGTGCCAAATATGGTATAGTGGAATTTTTATACTTAGACGTACGTGCATAAAGTCTTCTGAAAAGACTTCTTGTTTTACCTGAGGAGACACAAGGTTGGAGCTGCGGGTAAAGTGCATGCTCACAGTCTGACAAAATTCCTCTAACAAATTTCTTGTATGACATCAGGTGCCTATCAGTGACAATATCAACGATATGGCCCAATATGGTACCACTCGTCCTACTGACAGTCTTCAGAGTTCTACGAAGCATGACATAGTCGTTTTTAAGCAATCCAGGAAAGAATAAGGGCGAACAGTAAAGAAGAATAGGTAAGATCCACGAGCTGACAAACTGTAACAGGAGGGGTTGGGTTATACATGACTGCCTTAACTTCTTAATGTAAAAAGTCAGACGGAATATTCTTTTAGAAATCGCTAAGACATGGAAAGACCAGGATGGGTCAGAAGAAAGAATTAATCCAAGATACTTAACTTCAGACCTGATTTCTTTATCACTATCATTAATTTTGCAGTGGTTATTGGAACCGATAGCTTCATTTAACTTTCTTTTACATCGGAAACTGAAATTAACAGTCTGATATTTGGAAGGATTTAGTTTAAGGCTGTTAAACGAATAAGTATTATAAAGGTAGATTATTGGGTGGAAGCTATCAGTACGATTCGTTTTGTCACCTAGGTCCTGATTAGTTAAAATAAATACAAGAACTCAAAAACTTTATTTCAACCTTATTCCACTGCTTTTTTTTGATCGACTTTATGTCAGCGCATTTACAAAATTGGCTTTCTTAAAATTTTTCTTTCATGTTGCTTTTGACAAGACGAATTCACATTTATTTTTACAGAATTTTCTTAACCTTTAGATAAATTTTATATTGTATCCACCAATCCACATGGCTACTGTAATTATAATTTTTTCTAGACTACATGCGAAAAACGTATTTTTATCGAGATGGAAGATGTGAAAAGGCTAGCTGTCTGTGATGAAAGGTGATCGCATTCTATTTCAAATGTTAAGTTCTATAATATGGTGAGTAATAGTGATGCTAGGGGTATAGGGCTGAGTAAGTAATGAAACTTAGTGAATGAGGCTGTAAAAATGCATTGTTCCTTTGGGTTCCGAGTTGAACTTAGGGTTTCAACAATACATCTCCAATTTGTTCTATTTTCTGTTGTCCTCTTCAGCTTGCCCCCCTGTTTGCCCCTATTCTCGCATCTCTTGCTCTCATGATCTCTTACATATCACCCTATGACGACCCACTCGTAGCTTCCTATTCGGATTCCACTCCAGCAATGGCCTGATCCATTTCCATTTTCTCCTATTTATTTGTTGGACGTTAGGTTTTTCATTAGTTTGTTCCTATAGTTTCTTGCTCCCAATTCTTTCTGGCCGGCTAGTATGGAGCCAGTGAAGGCATCTGTTGATAAACGTCTGCAGTAACCTGTTGGAAATTCTCTCCGTGACACGCTGGCCAAGTTTCTGATTCATACAGAAGAACCGACTCACTTCATTTTGGTGTCGAAAATCCAAATCTTGTTCCTTATGCTGACTGAGTGAAGAAGATTTTTAAACCGATTTCACATTGAAGAGGGTGTATCTTGCCTTTCCGATTCTGACTTTGACTTTGTTTCTAGTCGAGTAATATTAACTGACACAGAATTAGATCGAAAACGAAGAGATATGCACTACTGGATATGCTATGCACAACTTGATATGATTATGAGCAATAGTTTATGCTCGAAACGTCATCAGTTAGTATTACTGTACAACACTGTGTGATTTATCAAAATAAAATCTTATAATGGAGTTATACTCTACCACAGTGCCCAAGTTTTATACTTATATCTACTTGTTTGGTGTTCACGGGATTATAAGAACCACTGACTGTAACTGTCAGTGATATGGCTCAAAAACATTCTCAATGGCACAGATGCATTCAGTCTTTGTAATTTTCCAGATTCTTTAGATCCTCATGTTTTTTTATGTTACTACTCTTTCTCCTCTACACTCCTGCTCATCATAATTTTTTTGAATTTCGTTTTACTTCCTTTTTCCTACCATCACGTGTTACATTGGTTGTAGCAGTTTGAAATGCTTCACTTCTGTGTGATGTTCTATTCTAGAACCCAGTCAGTCAATTGCTAGCATGACTGTATGGATACTAAAACAAAATCAAAGTATAAAGAATTCTTTTCTCCGTTTTATTTTGCATTAAATCAACTGATTTACCACCCAAAAATGGATTTGACTACAATACAAATTTAAGTTTACACCCTGTTAGTTACTCTTTTTGTGATTAAGACAAAGGCATTGTCAAACCAACAGGAAAAATATTTTTTTAACAAGATGGAATTGTCTTAAATGTGTTTCAATGATACCATGGTTATTAGACCCAAAATAATTAGAAGTATGAGATACTGAAAGGAAACATTTGTTGTTCCTCAATTACAGCTTTAATTTTTTTTAATTAGGAAAATTTATTGTTTTGAGTTCAAAATATTTTCGTCATCTGTTGCATTTATGGTTTTATGGTTTGACCTGATCCATTCAATTTTAAGTTGGTGCGAATTAAATGGCTCTTAAGCCTATCATCTCACTAAGTTTTTATTTTACTTCTGATGTAACGACTCATCTGCATCTTCTGTGGCGCTGACCTTTATTTCGTTAGCATCATCATGTGACAATTTCATCAGTTGGTGAAAGTCTTAGCCAAATGCAATGGATTGTTGATTCACTAAAATGACTAAGGAAGAAATCACTGGTAGATCAAATCACATTGCGGCGAGAACTGATCTAATCTCTTGAATCATGTGCGTAAGCTTTCATGGAATGTTTTTATTCACAACCTTCAGCTTGTAGTCAGCCTATCGGTGAATTAAACTTCTAAAATTCTACTCAACTGTGTCTATGTTGTGCTTATACTTCTTTGGCTTTATACAGATGGTTCAAAATATTCATTAAATGTTATATGATGGTATTAATTGTAACGTGTAAAGATATTGTGTCCATTTCGCTAAGCATTAAAAAAATTCTATGATGTGGAAGACATTTTTGTAATACAGTATTCTGTGTGGATTCAATACTCTCCTCTGATTATGCGTTGAGATGACAATAAGCGCTTGAGTAAAGCAAGGCAGGCCAAAGTACTAGCAGTTCTGAAAAAAGCCTTATTGTTACAACTTCAGTTCATTAGGGATAACATTAGTTAGATTTTAACGCAACGCCTAGGGAATGCGGCAAAAAGAGCATTCAGTGCTGCTGAATTATGCTGTATTTTCAAAATAAATTCTATTTTGCGCTTGGGAGTTAAACTATCTAATTTCCCCTCATTAATGTGTATGTACCAATTTAACTGCTCCTGTGAAACCAATTACACAGGCCGTAAAATTAGGCGTGTTTATTATTGGATTTCCGAACACCATCCCTCTTGGTTAAGCAAGGAATAAACAAAATCCATTCATAGCGATAATTTATCTCTTCTCGTGGATACAGAACACAAGACTGATGTTAACGAGGCTTTCAGAGTCATCTGTTGCATACCAAATAATCTTAATTTTACCTCAAAAGTTTGGCTGCTGGAATCTACATTAAGAAACCCAACTTATGTACCCAAAGGAAGTTGGTTCAGACACTTTCCTTACCTTGGCCATCAAGGTTTTAATGATCCTTAATTTGTTATAGAAATTTCCTCAATTCTATTTGATATTCTATTTACTATTACATGTTTATGCTTATTACAAATTAAAGCGTCTTTCTTGAATTTTAACTCAATTGACCTTACTTAAGAAATCTATAGTATTTATAACACCAATATTGTTAATGACGATTATGCTAGAATATTCTGCGTGCGTGAATTAATATACACATATATAATTGTAGAGCCAGAAGAGGTTACTGTCTGGAATTTTCTTTTTTCTTGCAAACATAAACATTTATTCTCTATGCCGACCTTTTAAAATCAAAAGTACGAAATCGTATCTTCGTGCAATTCCAGAACTCTCTGGCTTCATTCTAAGTGAATAACTTAAGCCTTTGGAATTAATGCCTTTAAAGCTACCTTTGTGCTCAGAAGTAATGCTTACATTTTACTTAATAGACAGAAACTTATTTTCTGTAAAGACACTTTCTCTTAAACAGTTTATATATCCCGTAACGAATAAAGGATGGAAAATAAACACTAATTATTGAAGAGATATTTTATTCCTCACTAACCTGTCATATAACCACGGAAGACGTCAGTTTTATTCAACTTTGGTGCATGTCCAAGCCAGATTACCTTCTGATTGTTAAAAAGTTTTCCATAGGCGGCTAAGTTGTCAATATTTAAATAAGAAAAGATAAAGAACAACAAAATAAATTCAGTTATATAAAATTACAGTTTTACATCCAACCAATGACAACAAAAATGGTAATAAGAAATTGGAAGACAGTCTCCCTAGGTGACTTTTTAAACTTTCTTGAAATTGAGTGCAGTTTTTTCTCACAATCTGTGTTACTCAAGTACAACTCATTGCATAAAATAGTACCAAAGAAAGGCTATTATTCAATGTATAAATCTTCATGTCATCGTACAACATAATTTATTCGCATAGTTTTAAAGATCTAATTTTTAGGTATGTCATGGCCAAAATTATTACTTCTCATTCAGTCATGATTCTTTTATGTAAGCGAGTATCACCTATATTTACTCAAAACAAAACTGCGTATAAGGAAACTCCTTTGCAATTCTTAAGTACATGACGGCTCCTAATCTCGCCACTGTCCTTACGACATCCGATATGAAGTGCAGATTTCACAAAGCCATATTCTGTCTCAATTATAAATCGGGCAGTGAAACCACAGTTAGCTCAGAAGTTTTTAAGTACAACTTTGAATAACTCCATTGTTGCTTTCTTTTCAAGTTTGCTGAAAAAATTTCCGCAAAAAATACCTTTTGCTTGAAGACACCAGTGACAGTGTAATAACTGAGCTACTACCTGTGAAACATCGACTTGAGGAACAACCACTTAATATTAAGAAGTGCAATACTATTTCCAACCACAAATATGACCGTTGCCAACCTAGGCTAATACGTTTCCGTGGAGAATATTATTCATATCATCTGCTTGGTGGCAGTAACAGCTAATAAACACAGTTAATTCGTAGAACTATGTATAAATGACTTACTAAACTACTGATTTGGTTCATGACTAACATGTGTTGACCGACTGTCTTTCCGATCTTTTACTGAATATATATTGTTATGACAGTGGCTGTAAAATGATAGGGATGATAAGTACCTAAGAGCGTAGACAGCGATTATTTGATGTCCTCAAAGCTTCGACACCAATAGTATTGAGTACTTTAATATGGATTATAACAATTAGTTTTACAGTATTCAATACTTCAAAAACATTTTAGCAGTGTGCTAGGTAATCACTTACTGTTCAATTCATATGTATGACGCGTGCTGTCCACCTCAAGGATAATTTGATAATCCACACGATAACCTCGTATTCGATGATAGAATCCATCATCAATAGGGAAATTAGGTCCACTAACATGAACGAAACCTCCTCCCATGTCGTAGTTCAAATGTACTACACCTGATTCCTAAAGTGAAATACATTTATTCAAGAAAATCAAAGGTAGTAAGAAAAAAAGTAGAATGGTATGAAGAATTATGTTTACCTCACTGGAAATCTATTAGTTTAAAAATTATCTTCAAAATAAAAAACTAAATATGATGCTTATTTTTTCAATCTTGTGATGAATGTAATCGACAAAAAACAAACCAATACTTGAAAAAATGAAGTGTCTTTAAACTCGAGATAAGTTTTTATGTATCAATAAGTTACAAGTTAACTGTACACAAAGGTCTGGCTTAAAGTCATGAATTGCCAAGGGAGAAAGGAAGTATGTGCAAAGCTCTATTTTGGAACACCTGATCGACTTCTGTCACTCTGTCAACCCTGACCATGATTTTAAGATCATATATAGAATCCATGCTAACTTCCCGCGTTTTCTTCGTTACAGACTTTTAAAGACAGCTGAGGCCTTGGCAATTCATGACTGTTAGCCAGAACTTTGTGTACAAAAGGAATATGTACAATCCTTACTTCTACTTTGGCCGTAGAGGGACAGACGTTTATTTATTTTGTTTATTTAGTTATTCTACGTACTTTTCCCTTATTACTACCATTATTATTATCATTATTATTATTACTATTCTCACTCTGAATCTTTTCCACTTGACCCACTTGACATTTAAAACCCAAAATTATTGATTTTTATATTTTTATTTTTACAATATTGAATTCTATATTATCGAATTTCACACCATGTTATGTAACATTTTATATTCGTCTACTAATCTTATAATTATGTACCCCTTTCCAAAATTCTATACACCTTATGTATTATTCTGTATACGACATTAATTATTTTGCCACATGACATTAAACTATGATTATAATCACAGATATTTTAATTGCATTTCATACCATTATTATTTCATGTATTCACACCTTTGACCTAATTCCCTCACCGGATATAATTTTATAAAAAAAAACCATATATATACGATTGTACAGCTTGATAATAAATTCGTTGAAAAGAGTCTCTTCGCTGAATATTGTGTTCTTAATTATTTATATATTCTCCTGAGCGCAGTATTCAATACACATTGATTAAATAACGACAACACTTATTTTTAAAAGCCTTGAGGCTCAGGGACTGCATATTACGCAGCTGCTAAATGAATGTGCTGACTAAAGCGTCATACAACAGTTGACAGCTTCGACGCTCTAGATGAGGGAGATCAAATGTTTATATTCAACACGTATGCAAAATTAGCTTCTTTATGACTTTATTCTTCGTATTTTGCATGAGTTTGTATGACACTGAGTTAGTGTCAGTTAGGCGGCGTTTTTCGCAGGAATATATGTATGTATACGAAGTGATTCATGAATATTTGATGTACTATTTGATATTCTCACCAAGAATACTTTAACCGATTAGCTAAACGCTTCAGTTATGAGCAAATATCTTGTGTCGTATGTGTTCACCTACTCCATTCACTTGTCATCGATAATTTGATTTAGTTGCTGACAGCTTAAAACGGAATCCAGGGCTCTTCTTTCTTCTTATTAAGGAATTGTCAGTCTGATGTGCCCCCTCCCCATTGAGATTGGAGCCCAGCACCCCCTAGTTATAAATGTGGAATTGCTATTCACAAGACTAATAAGTCACAGGAGTCGTCACTTTTGTAATGGTTATAAGCTGTTATTTGTTGCAGTCACTCTGCTGATGGACTGCATTCGACCAAAATACTGAGTCTTTGCCATCATGTCTGCAACAATTAATAATAGTTCAAATACGTACAGTACCGGACATGAATCACATACCAGAAATAAATGAATGAAATCACCTATTTGATTTGAACTTGTAATAAACAATAAGGTTGATATGGTAGATGAACGATTTTGTTCCGTTTCTACACCGTCTTCCGTAGGGAATGTTTGAATGCCAAGAATAAATTCATCTTGTCTTGTATTTCTGACACGATCTTTATACATTATACGTAGGTATCCTACATCATCTTCACTGTTCACCATCTTGTTCACACCAGGTAAGCTGACGTATGCAGATAAATCTTCATTGATGGAGCCGAATTTGAATGTAGTTCCAACTGTAGAAATGGAGTGAACATTATTAAATAACACTCAGCATTTTCCGTAGGTCATATGTGAAAATATATATGAGGAACATCATAAAAAAATTCATTAACTAGCATATTAAAGTGATTTGTCTTTATTGTCTGCAAACAACTCACTTATTATTTTATTAACGATGGATTAACTGCCTAAAGAATGCGTGGATTTTATCCATCAATGGGATTTTGAAGCACGTCCAATTAGAGGATTTAATTTCGACACCTTAAAATGATCACGTGATTGTTAAACACGGAAATTATTCAGGTGCTACCAGCCTATAATCTACATGTATCATGTGGTGGTTAGTGATACTATCCCGTCGCTTAGTCTGACGTAGGTGGAAAGAAGGATTCGAACCCACTGAGTGAAAGTCAAATACATAAGCCAATGATCCATTGACACTGAACCAATTAGAGAAATGCCCCTCGTGTCCTTTGTAGAAGACCTGTGATCAGTGAACTATGTGAAGAAGCGAAAATACTTGTATAACAAATGAAATCTGTGTCTAAAGACTCTAGATGATACATTTATTTATTTATTTTTATTGTAGCTTGACTCCACACAGAATGTTTGATACAAGTATGGAATTTTCAGCATGTGATATCGGTAGCCCAAATTTATCAGGTCGACTATTGGTATCAGGTGTGCGTCGGCCGGGGATTGAACCCCGGACCATGTGCATGGTTGGCGAGCGTCCTAACCGTTATACCACCGATGTATACAATATTGCTAGTACTAGAAGGATGGCTTGGAAGTCTTTCTGTAAAATTTGACTGTTTGATGGTGTATACCCTTAGTAATTATCTTTCCATTCTACTACATTTGTTAATCGTACTTAAATACAGTCTTGCAACTAACTCTTTTGTAGAGATAAGTGCTGAGTTATGCTTTCAAAGTACTTTTATCGTATGCTCATCTATGAATATAACGGTTATAATCGAAGGTTGTATGCGAAATGTGAATTTGTACTTATTGAAAATGGACAGTGTTATTAGAAGACGGAGATTATCTGGGAAATGTGATGTATTTGCGCAATACATTTCGAACGGTCTGATTACACACTTACTTCTCAAGTGGATATATATGAGAAAATGAAGGGTAATTAAATTAGACAAAATGACAAAAAAGATTTAAGAATGATTAACATAACGTTTGGTAATCCAATCAAATAAGCATTATCAAGGTAGATTTGGAGTAATAATAAACTGCTTTTGAATACACAAGATGGGTGGGCTTAAGTTTATGAATAGCTATAGCCTCAGTGTATTTCAGTAAGCGTCCTTGACCATTTTTATATCATTATATTATTATTATTGTTCTCTTGGGTTCCGAGGGGAACATAGGGCTTCAAATGCACGCCTCCACTTGCTTCTGTCTTCTGCTGTACTTTTCACTTGCATTCATGTTAGTCCATACTGTTTCAGTTCCTCATCACACGATCTCCTCCATGTCACCCTTGCACGTCCCACTCGCCGCTTCTTTTTCGGATTCCACTCGAGCTATGGCCTGACGCGCGATGTCACCCAGCGGCCTCCTCAGCGAGTGTCCAATCCATCTCCACTTTCTTCTGCACATTTGTTGGGCGATTTGTTCTTGTTTTGTTTGTTTCTATAGTTCCTTGTTGGTGATTCTTTCCGGCCATCTGATCTTGAGTATAGAGCGAAGACAGTTGTTGTTGATAAAGGTCTGCAACCTGTTGGAAATATTTTTGGTGACCCGCCAAGTTTCTGATCCGTATAGAAGAAGTGACTTGACGTTTGTATTGAAAATCCGAATTTTGTTGTTGATGCAGGCTGAGTGACGAAGATTTCCAGATTGGTTTCAGGTTGATGAATGTGTTTCTTGCTTTCCCGATTCTCTATTTGACATCCTCGCCCGTTCCTCCTGTGGTTAAGACAATGCTCCCTAGATAAGTGAAAGAAGTAACCTCTTTCAAATCCCTCCCGTTGATGGTGATTGGCGCTGGATGTTGCTGCTGTTTTTGTTGTTGTTGTTTGATTATTTTCATAACCATTTTTATAGATGACCTTAAAGGCTGAGTTAACATCCATCATATGGGTTATGGTGATTAGGTGTTTGTCTATAGACGAAGTTGGTAATCTGACTCCTGCGTCTATTGGTTTTCCGTATTTAATTTGTTCTCCCAGCCATTTCGGGATATGCTCTCTCACGCTCACATGCAAAGCACGATTACTCCTCCCTATATAGGGAGGAGTGTGTCCACACACACATGAAAATTGGTAAATAGTGTGGATGTGACTTAATCACTTTTGCACTTTTGAGGTTTGCAGTAGAGCACTTTTTTAACTTTTTCGGTAATTACAAGCCGGGCTGCATAATAGGTCCTATGGATAACCGAATTCAACCTTTGTCTCAAAATCCTACCGTTGATTTCTCCGTTATATGATAATTTGATGAAAACAGTTTTCTTCTATTAACACTATCCAAATTTATAAAAGGGACTAATCGTTCTAAATTTTTGAAAAGAAGACTTAATGAACAGACTACTTTATTTGTGCTGCACGTTTAGCCACCATTTGCAATACATTTACAAATAAATAGAATAACAATGGTTTAAATGAAGATTATAGCGAGGAAGCTACTCAAAATAGACCAAAATAGCATTCATAAATTCTATAGTTCCTGTAGATACAGATGAATAAGGTTAAAAAAATTTTTATTAACAAACGTTATCAGGAAGAAGAGGAGACACGTTATTAATTGGTGCTGTTTATGCAAGCCCTTGACTTAATATTCGATTTTAACCTAGGTTATTGCTGATTTTCTTAGTTACTTACGATTTAAAATCACTTACCTTTTTATGAAGGAGAATTCTCCGTGATTTCTCCAAAATGTCTTCTGTGGCTTCCGCTTGAGAGAAGAGTATCCAGATCTTCAGCCATACTGTGAATAAGTAACGCAGCTACTCCTAGTCCTCAGCCACTCAGAATAATTTCGGATCCAAGTAATATTTGGTGATTTCACCGGATTTTACTTTATCATCATGCACTACACATTCACATCTAAGCATAACGTTTCTTAAGAAAAGCTTTATTAGGCTGGTCTGTAAGAAAATCAGACATACTGTGAGCCAAATGCAAAGTGTAGTTATTAATGTTCACCTTTCTACAATACGAATAATTTTGCCCACAGGCTGCCTGTAGAATTCTATCCTAGTAACATGGGAAATGTATATGTTTACATTAAGGATCCAACCTTCACTACGAAGTTTTCCTACTAATCTGAAAGTAACCCAGGTTGTGCAAAAGTCACATACATTTATGCTTACCTTTCATACATCTGTGTCCATCAAACGTAGTCAGTTCACAGGCACATTTCGTGGTTGTCCAGGAATGTAAACAGATTCCGTCATTTAAACAATAAGGTATGGATTCCTTCTTGTAGACGATTTCATCTGCATTTCTTTCTTTTGCCGTAATATCATTTTGATGGCGTCCTATGTCATTACATCTCATTGCTGTACTAGGTCGATCAAGACATCCAGGAACAATCTGGTCGTAACACATAGGAATAGTCCAATTCATAGCATATTTTGACTTAGCCAATTTCAACAAATCGGAAGGGGGCAATCCATTTATGGAGAAATTGCTCAAGCATCCCTGAATGTAAAAAACGGAAAGTGTAAAATGTAGATCGGCATTTGGGGATTCAAAGAGGTGGACAACCTAAAATGATTCAGCGATTATACTATCACTTTGATGTGCCTTTAAACTCTAATGTGTTTGAAGTCCACAGCCAATAAAAATTAATTTTTGATCACTTTTATCAGCAGATGATATGTAAAACAGTCAATACAGAAACCTGAATAGATTAGTGAAAATCCTTAACAAACATGTGCATGAACTTCTTTCAAGAATCAACTTATTTAACGAAGGTAGATCAATTCAGTCTGTATAGCAAGCATTACTGGTTGACGTGAGTGGTATTCAACTACTTATGTTAACCAGTCATTAGTATTTAGAGTCATGCATTCATGCTTGCTTTCCTGATTTTAATTTATGGTATCAAGGAGATGACATATTGCGGTCTGAATGGCTTTGATTTCCAAAGGAAACTGTGATGGGATTTTACTTCTTCAAACTTTGTAAACTGCTAATCGTCAATTAATTTGTAAATTGTGAAGGACAGAAATAATAATTGAAGTAGGGCACAGTATCATCTGATAAAATCAGTGAACTGTTAAAATACAAAATTCAGCATCACTATTGGGAATGAATTTCAGCAAGTCAAAATGGTTGTTGGAATTCATTGGTAAAGAGTACGACTGAACCAATAGTAGGAAATGTTTATGGGTTCGGCTGGTGATACCACAGGTGAAAGCATAAAATGATATTAGGATGTCTAGAAAATATCTGCTGGAAAAATGTTACCTGACTTGGTCAACTTCTACAGACTATTATTTGCTTTTACTTCACTTTTGATTTCCCCGTTGACTGACTGAACCAACATGCTCTACCTCTACTGACATTTCAGCTACTAATATGGACGTTTTCATTATGTCTGAAGATTGACTTGGAGTGATTTGGTGGGTGGTGACTAGCGGTGGAATCCAGGATGCTTACATCGTTCTGTGTGGGACACATTAGCAGGATGCATCTGCTTTCTCCAGTGAGTGATTGTGTTCACACTGAGACACTAACCTAGTACCTATCGTTTGAAACGCCAAAGGGTTATGCATCAGACAAGTTGGCTTTTGAAACGGTGGTCACTTGGTTCTTGTCTCAGTGAGAGCGCTATCACTGACTGGAAATGCAGGTACATGCAGATAGCGAGATCCAAATAGGATAAAGTGAGCATACATAATTACACTGCTAGTTACCAACCACTGGATTAGTTCTACAGATTTTCCTGAAGGCTCCATAACCCAAATAAAGAGATATTGCTGTCTCCTTTAGAGTTGACTTCATATCATATTTAGCTGTGGAATAGTGCAGAGTAGCAACTTTAGCTTCTGAGTTAAACCATTCATCTAAGAGAACCGAGTGACAATAATTTAGAAGAGGCTACTTACTAATGTTTCCATATAGTCACTCTAATTCAGACGGCTATTTAGGAAATGTAGAAGTATGCAATGGAAGTTTCCACATACTGAGAAACGATTAAAAATATCATTCATAACTTAAAACCTACATTTATTGATTTGACACTCTTCTAATCTCGTCGTGAATTAATTTCAGACTGTACAAAATCGTACAAATAGTTGTAAAAAAGTCATTTGTGCCACTATTTAAAATACACCCTTACGAGAGAAAGTTCATTCCTCCGATTGTAAGAAGGAGAAAATGATGCAGTGAAGGTAGTTGATATTTAAATTGACGTTTCCTCTAATCTGACATTTCATTTAGTAGACCTTTCAGCAATAGTACAGATAATCTCTTTCAAAAATCAGAGAACTTGTCTCAGCGTATATAATTATAATGTCATTACACAATTCAAACCCAAGTCTGAGAAGTTATGAAGATAGATACATTTTTGCATATATGTGAATACTGCATAAAACAAATAGATTAAATAATGATTTCTATGTGAAATATAAAACTATGAGAATCAGTCATGAAAACGATAAAAGCTTATTTAGAATTTTTCTCAACAAACTGTAGGTGTTTATCCCAATAAGTGCCCAATGCAGGGGACACTAAATCCGTTGCAATCACATTTTAATTCCATTATGGGTAAATTTTATTTTGATATAGTCTCACAGTGTTATACAGTAATGTTTACTGATGACGTTTCGAGCACAATTTATTGCTCATAATCATATCAAGGTAATCACACGACTTCCTAAATTCATTTATATAGTTCCATTGTTTTTCACTTGATTTTCACTTGATTTGATTGGTAGTATTATTTTCCATATTTCGGGTATGAGTGATGATTCTAAATAAAGCAGGAATTAGGGTGGCATTTAAACCTACAAACTCACTCAGGGACAAGCTCTGTAGGTTAAAGGACCCAGTGGACCCAATTAGACAAAACAATATAATTTACAAAATACCCTGCAATGACTGTGATTGAGGTCAACTACATAGGTCAAACTAGTAGGTCAGGGGTAGTCAGATTGTCAGAACATAGGAATTTAGCTAAGGTAAGAATGGTTGACCCAGAGAAGATACGTAATTTAGAAAAAAGCTCGGCAATTGCACTGCATGCATTAACACACAACCACACAATAGGGTGGGAGAGGGTTAAAATTCTAAAAAGTAATCTAGGTAGGTGGAGAGAGAGGTTGATTACTGAATCTTTGTTCATCGAATCTACACCCAACACATGCAATAGGAATGAACCATCACTCATACCCGAAATATGGAAAATAATACTACCAATCAAATCAAGTGAAATTCAAGTGAAAAACAATGGAACTATATAAATGAATTTAGGAAGTCGTGTGATTACCTTGATATGATTATGAGCAATAAATTGTGCTCGAAACGTCATCAGTAAACATTACTGTATAACACTGTGAGACTATATCAAAATAAAATTTAACCATAATGGAATTACACTCTATCACAGTGCCCAAGTTTTATTCTTATATCAATCATATTTTAATATCGGCAGGTTCCCTTTGAAACATGGAAAAACATACGGCTGTGTTTGTTCATGTTGGAAATAATGAGTAGACGTGAGAACAAAATCTCAAGGAACTATTCGTCTGGGCACAGTATACTTTAAACTAGTTGAGGTCAGCTATTTTAGTTAGCATTTACCAGTTTCGGTCAAATTGGTGTTGTGATCTTTTACTGATGATTGTCGTTTGCTGTATCACATCTGTGAGCTGGCTGCCAGTATATTCTACCTTAAACCATTTCGGGTATTTTTAACAATAAATAAACCTAAGAAATGATAAATGTCCAACTGAAATAAGAGCTTACTAAAATTTACTGCGTAATATTTATAAGACTTTTACTGTTGCATTAATTTCCACGGGTTTTTAGGGCTACAATTGCTTCCATATATGAATTTCACTCTTAAGAGACTACGGTTTTGCGTGATTTCCATGTTCTCGCCTTCATAAGTCAATCAAAAGTGGTACAACTGATACAGTCACCTAAGAAATATTAACTGGTTCCATATACCACTTCCAATTTGCTGATGAAGTCTGATGAAGTCTAGATTCTAGTACTAATATTCCGAATTTCAAGGTTTTCGGAGACTTCGATTTAGTTAAATGGATATCAAAAGCTGATAAGAGCAAGAATTCACAGACGATTAAATTCAAGCACTTCATATTGTGGGAATACAGCTTCCCAACTCAAAATAGGATCTTGGGTGTGTGCTACAGACGACTAACCAAAATAGGACACAATACCTATTCAATGCTTCGTAGCTTTTTTTCAATAATCCTCTGTTTCATGTTGATTACTGATGAAATCCACTAACAGTTTAGGAATTTTCTATTATTCAATTTTTGGAAGGAAAACTTTGAAGTCTGAATTCTTTTAAAAGAAATTTTTTAGGATGTATAATACATCGAGAGAAAACCTTTAGAAACTATTCATTTCCACCTTCTATGCGCACTCAATATTAAATCATTTCAGGTGTATTAGTATAAGTTTTGGCGCCATAATTATACCACAATTTATAAAAAATTAATATGAAATGAAAGTTATAAGAGACAAATGATTGTCTCTAGAAGATATTTTTACCAGACTGCACTATTGTAAAGAAAGTGTACTATAATGAAGCGCTTTCATGCTATTTCCTTCCTTCAAACCTACCACAATGACAGGCAAAATCTCAAGGCAAAATATTTTTTTATCTTAACCTTTAATCGTACATTCTAAAATGCCTTCCAACATGCTTTAAAAATATATGGCTGCAGTTTATAAGACTCACTGCCGTCAAAATTCATTGTAAGGAAGTTAAGATACCAAAATTACTCTGTGTATATATGCACATATATATGTATAACTTTTCTTGTGCTTAACATTATTGCATTAATAATAACGCCAAAAACTGAAAATACCTGAAATCCGTGATATGAGCTTATTTTTTCTCTCCATTTCAAGAAAACATGTTGTGAAGTCCCTCCAATGAAAAGTGGATCATTTAAATTGAAGTTTCTTGAACTATCACCATTAACCACTGGTATCTGAATAGATTGTTCTGTAATTGTATTTCTGTCGATATACAATTGAAGAGTATTATTTTCAAGATCCATCCTAGCAAGGAAAATAATATTTAATGTATATCTTAGTCAAGTGTTGATTTTGAGGGATTTGATCGATGTTAGGATGTCATCATGAACTGATATCAGTTAAAGAACCATTGGGAAACCTGGAAGTACTAGACAGCTGTTTCTTCACACTTTAGGACTCCTAGACGGTAATGGGATTCATGGGATATTAGATCGGGCCTCAGCGGCTTAGTGGTCTACGAGCTCACCTTGTAACTGGGTGGTCCCGGCGTTCGAGCCCCAGTGAGAGCATACTGCTAGAGAGTCTCAAGCTGGAACGAAACAGCTGTAGAGTACTTCCAAGTTTTCCAATGGTTCTCTAACCGATTTCAGTTCACTATGAAATCTATCTTGGTTTAGAATTGTCAGATGAATGATAAAATATGTCAATTGAAGATAGATCATGTCTTAATTTGATGATTGAAAGACAGTATTGCAAATCAACATAAATATATTTAAGAAGTATTTTAGAATACAAGTCACTCAGAGATATGACTAGTGCAAGGGAGAAGACTGACTTATGAATTGGCAAGTAAGCAGAAAATACCGGTGTTCAGTTTCAGCTTAGTAAGGACCAGTAACTGACTGAATTCCCGACTCACTGTGGAACAGAACGGGAATTCATATTTCACATACTAATTTACGAGTTTTTTTGTACCACTTTTCTCCTGTAGCTTATAAAGTTATCTAAACTTTCGTCTCCTCCGCGGAGGTATAACTTTCCACCGAATTGCATAATACCAATGCCACGTGACCGCATCTCGAAAATGAAATTATACCTGTATGTTTTCGTCAACTTTAATGGCTATTAGGCGTCACGCTCGCACTACTCATACTGCAAAAAAGTGATTTATTTATCAAATGAATTCCTTTACAGACTTAAGAGCTACTGGTGAATGAAAGAACTAACGGGTGCCCATTAGTGACACCAAATAACAGCCACAAGAAGATGAGAAACGACTATAATGAACTATTCAACCGTAGCCCGACTGCCGAGTGTTTGAGTTGTGAATTTCTCCTCACTAGTCTTTAAAAGAATTCAGGTGAACAAACTAAGAAATGTTATTCCCTTGCACAAAAAGGAACAAGACATTTTCTTACATATTCTGAATTTTTATTAACTCACCTTATAAGTTCAACGTGATGCCATTTAGAATCACTTACAGCATATGTCATCATTGCGTAACGTTGTGTACCACTTCCCATATCGAATGCTAAATAGAGATGACTTCTAATCAATTCAAACGCTAAAAAATCCACACCTTGTTTATTCGAGTTAAATAACAATAAACCGTGTTCTTGTGATGTTCGAAATGAAAACTGTAGACTGAATTTTTCATAGAGATGAATAGCTGGATTATGCAAGTAACATTCAGCTTCTTTGAACGTTAGGAAATGTGATTCTGTCTTGTTTATTGTGTCGGAAGTAGTTGGCTTCAAACTCTCAGAATGGTTTTGCACCGATCTGTGGGGACGGGGTCTAATGAATTTATTTATTTTCCTTGAACTACGTTGTATCACACCGAAATTATTATCTGAAATTCAAGATAAATAATCATATTCGGTTATGTTTTTTCCTACACTCACTTTAAGGTAATTGAAAAGAAATGGCAATAGGTGCTAGGAACAATGCTTATGAAGAAATAAAAAATGACTACAACAGTTCCAACCTTGATTGCAAATTCGGCAACGCAGTGAAAATGAATCCACCTGGGATGTATAATTTTCGTTGAAATAGGACATAAGCGAACAATATTATTTCTACTCAAGTGTTGGTTTGTAGGGTAGTAGGGTAGGTAGGTAATTACCTGGGGTTCTAGTGGGAAGTCGTGACCAGTAGGGTGCAGCAGGTCGGGTGTGAGGACAAATACTCGCCGAAGACATTGGCTAGCGGTCGCGCTATGTCGTGAATTGGCAGAAGTTAGAATTCATGGGCCATTGGATCAGGTCCCAGTGGTTTAATGGTATGCGAGCTCGCCTTGTAACCAGAAGGTCCTGGGTTCGAATCCCGGTGTGTGCGTACTGATGAAGAGTCCCAGACTAGATTGAAACAGCTGCCCAGTACTCCCAGGTTTTCCAATGGTTCTCTAACTAATGTCAGCTTATGATGAAATATTATTTCTGTTTAGACACGACTCCAGTAAACAATTTTAAACATGCATGAGTATACTTATTATGATAAATGATCAACACATGTCAGCTGTTCAAAAATTAGAATTATTCTACTAACAACCTACTGTATAAGTAAAACAGAAAAGCTTTGGGCTAATTAGGAAAGGACGAAAGAATCACAGCAAGTAAGCTCAATACTAATGGGGGTGGTGGTACTAGTGTACAAAACAAGTGACCCCTTCAGGATGAAAAAATCTCAAAAAACTGGATAACTCAGCAAATTAAAACTTAAAGGAGGCTGAGCAGCTTTGAAAAATCTCTTATTGTTATTCGCTTGGGTTCCGAGCAAATCTCCACTTTTCTAATTCTTTGCGCTCCTCTTTAGCTGGCCATAGTATTGCCCATAGTCCCTTATCCCCCTTTCATGCGATCTTCTCTATGTTACCATTAAAAGCTCATCTAGTTGTTTCCCATTTGGGTTTTACTCAAGACACTGACAAGCGATTTTAGTCAGTGTCCTCTCAGTGTATGTCCAATGCATCTTCTTTTCTTTCGACATATTTACTGTGCAATTGGCTCTTCGTTTGATCTTCCCCAAACCTTCTTCATTATGGAGCCAGCGAAGGCAGCTGTTGATAAATGTCTGAAGTCTGCTGGAGACGTTATTCGTAACGCGCCAGGTTTCTGACAGAAATAGAGGAAGTGATTTAACACATGTTGAAAATCCTGATTACGTTCTTTATGCCGAATGCAGATTTCCAAACTAAATTCAGGGTGGTGCATATCTGTCTTGCCTTCCCGATCCAGACTGATTTTGACATACGCATCCGTGTTGTCACCTGCAGCTAAAACGACACTGACTGGATAAGTGAAGAAAGTGACGTCTTTCAGATTTCTTCTGTTGATAATGATTGGTGCTCTTTGTTGTTGGTTGGTAAGCGTCACCACCTCCATCTTCCCTATGTTTACGTGAAGTGCTGTCTTCACAGTCTGATTCTTCTGGCAACTTGTTGCTTTTCACCTACAAGTCTTCGAGTTTACCTGACATTAGACATAAATCATCCGCATTAACCATAACTCTCAGAGTCTTCTTGTCAGTCCAACGTATTCCCCTCTTTTAACCACCCACAGTCTACTGCGAAATCCAGTCCATCACAATTAGGAATATCATCAGTGATACAAGAGAATCTAGTCTTACTCATGCTTTCACTGCATTAAATGATTCACTGAGTTTACCGTTGTGGATCACTTGACATGTTACACAGCTGCTGAATGAGGTTAATAAAGATTTCGAGCACTCCATAGTGTTGAAGTACTTTCTAAATTACTTCGCGGTCAGCACCGTTGAAATAATTTTTAAAGTCGATGAAATTTAGGTTTGACTGACATTCTATTCTCCGTTTGACGATGACTCGTGGAGTTGCTTTTGATCTGCACATTATTTGCTCACCCTGAATCCAACTTGCTCCAATCTCTTCATTAACCAAAAAAGGAATAATCTCTGATGTTTTGTATAAGTCTCTTACATCCTCTAGAATTTGCATTCTGAAACTGTATGGTTTTTAACTATTGCTTCCACTTGGTTCAGCTTTATACACTCATTTGCTTTCATCATGGAAAGTGTCCAGTTCTACTCTTACAACCTTTACATAAAAATTGTAAATCAGTATGAATTTGTCTGTAATGTAGATGATGGTAATGTAAATGCGAAATGTTTCATTATTGTTCATCACTGTTAGGGTTGGTGGAATTCTTCTGTCAGCAGTTGCTAACAAAGTTGACTTACACCAGAATAACAGTTGTTATCCTCAATCAAGAGAGTTTCATCAACCTACACTTCAAATCTGATAACATTAATCACAGAAAAATCGGCGATACCTTTCGAAACAGGTTACTTATTATGAGTTATCTTCTCCCACGTGATATGTAAACCAAGTACTTAGTTTTAACGTTGTTTAAAGTTCAAGACAGAGAATTTCATAAGTACTTACGAAACAGATCAGAACATAGTAATTTATTGGTCATATGTACATATATTTTAGACGATTGGAGGCGATCAGCAGGAAGCCTTATACCTAAGTTTGGTGAAACTCATTACTCGTTATCAAGGCGTGTCCGAAACATTGAATGAATTCATGTCCCTTCTGAGATTCGAACCCACTTCACCAAGTGCAGCCTGCAGTCAGAGACGTTACCACTGAGCTATTCAGCATCGTGACTGACCTCTTGTAGGACTGTACTGGATACGTCGATTGCACAGTAGTAACATGTGTGATGTGTCTAGACCTTTCTTTGGTGCAGACTGAATTCTATCAGTCAGCTTTCCAATGTGCGTAACGAGGATTCGAATCTCAGATGGGACATCAATTCCTTCAAGTTTGTAGACACGCCTTGCTGACGAGTGCCAACTCGCAGGAAACCTAGATTCAAGGCTTCCCGCCGATTACTTCCAACTATATAATATCATCAAATCAATGTGCACCACGATGGCGAGCTACCTAGAGTGGTAGCCACAAATCAAAATATACATATATATGTATATATAAAAATGTTATTATATGCATAATATGTTAAATCCTTAATCCAATATTCACAATTTATGACAAGAATGGAATTTGATTACTCAGGGAGCCAAGTAAAAAAGTATGTGTAAAACCAAGCCCATATTATCTGCACAGAATACTTAGTATCGCAGTTAACCTACCTCGACATCTGTGATATTATTTTTTACTTATTTTTTTTATTACAGCTTGATTCCACGCCGTATCTTTTGGTGCAAGTATGGAATTTTCAGCATGGATATCGGTAGCCCAAATTTAGCAGGCCGACCATAGATATTAGGTGTGCGTCGGCAGGGGATCGAACCCCGAACCATGTGCATGGTCGGCGAGAGTCCTAACCACTGTGCCGCTGACGCATAGTGGTTATATATTAAGTAGATATATATATTACATATATATTATATATTAAGTAGACTGTTATCTTTGTAAAGACTTTGTCTCATCCACTCTTTACCTAAAAATTACCCTCATTAATTCTCTAACTCCTATTATTTTTATGTGTTGTACTTTAAGAAATTTAACTGGTTTCAATCAAGATTACGTTGGTTCTCGGTAGAAACTTATTGGATTATTTAAATTTATCTGTTTCCTTGTTTCATGTCCACTGACGATAAATCAATGTGTTATCTGCCTACTTGGAACATTTTGCGAAAATGTAATTTACGAAGCAAACCTGACAAGTGTATGACTGATTTCAACTACCACAATTTTAAACAGATCAGAAGGTAATCAATAATAACTGGAAATTATAATTTTCATAAGTCTCGGTCTTGATAACACTCACCTCACTCAAAAAGATACCTTCATCAGTTAGCCTACCTTAAATAAAACTGATTAGTTTAGCTTTAAGCTACAGAAGAAAGTCAGTAGAGGATATTTCATGTTTATTCAAGTAGTAAACTATGCACACTAGTACAAAGGGATTAAAACTAATATTTCTGCAATAATACAGATCAAGTTAAGTTGTATGCCTCTTTCAAAGATAAATACTAATTTTTATTGTTACACACACAAATCGTAACTACAAAGTAGGTGATAAACGTGACTTACCGTAGCCTACATATATCTGTTTTGACTTTAAACCTGTTCTATGTCTAAGCAAAATATTCTTGTAAATGTCGACTGAATCTTTCGGTGTCTGTTGAATAATCTAAACATTTAATCAAAAAGAGAAAAGAAAAATAACAAAGTAGTTCAACGATAACATTTATAAAACTACACTTCATTTCTTTCCCACAGAATAGAATCATCGACGGCATCAATTCAACCTAATACACTTTTTATCGTCTAAAAATATTTTCCATTGAAACATATTTCCTGATTTGAAAAAAAACAGAGAAACAGTTTTTCTTCTTCATCTACAGTGTTTTCGTTGTGAATACTGATAATTTATAAAATATCGTGGATAAACGCTCTTTGAAAGAATATAAGAATAGTCTCTAAACCATGCTTAGTCTGGTAATAGCTCACACTGGCTGAATTTAAAGTTTGGCATACTATATTACTATAACATTATTATTGTTTCCTTTAATTCCTACAGGAACATAGGGCTTCAGCCGTGCGTCTGTATTGCGTTCGGTTATCTGCTAGAATCTTCACCTGGCTTCAAGTCTGCCTACACGTTTTCATCTCCTCTTCACATGACCTCCTCCAAGTCACCCAACTCTTGCACTGACGACCAACTCGCCGCTTCCTATTTGGGTTTCACTCGACGGCTTGTCTAGTGATGTCACTTGATGGTTTCCTCAGAGTATGACCAGCCAATCCATCTCCATTTCCTTCTGCATATTTGTTTCACAGTCGGTTCCTGGTTGGTTCGCTCATTGCCAGAGATCTCTGTTGCTGATCTTTTCTGGCCGGCCATCTGATCTTGAGTATTGAGCGAAGACAACTACTAATGAAGGTCTGTAGTTTGTTTGAGATGGTCTTTATGACGCGCCAAGTCTTTGATCCGTACAGTAGCAGTGATTTCACATTGGAGTTGAAAATCCGGATCTTATTTTTGATCCTGAGTGTTGTTGACCTCCACACAGACTTGAGAGTAGTGATGGCATGTCTTGCTTTTCCGATTCTTGCTTTGATATCGTCGTCAGTTCCATTCGCCTGTAGTTGAAACGATGCTTCCCAGTTAGGTAGGTGAAAGAGGTTGTTTCTTTCAGGTTCCTCCCATTTATGCACTGTTAAATGTAAGAGATTATCCTTAGGACCTTAAAACTGTTCAAAGTGGTTGGAGTAAGCTGAGTCTCTTTGATTCTTTTAATTTCCATGTGGAACATACGGCTTCAAGCTAGAGCTGTGAACTTTTGATTGCAGCTGTTTTATTTTTACAGGATAGAGATGTTAGCCTTACGCCCAATCTACCCTCTTTTTATCAGTCTTACTACAGTCTTGGTGTGGTTTATGGGATTGCGTCGTCCGAAGGTCAAACACCGGACCACATGCGTGGTTGGCGAGCATTCTACCGCTATTCTACGAATGTATCAATTTGAGTTACTTTTTGTCGATTTTGTGTCATGTTGAGCTAAATTTGAGATTTCTTGAATTAAAAAATGAATTCCTTTGCAGTTTTCTACAATATCATTTCAACAATGAAAATGAAATTTAGATCTGTCATCCAACTACTTTGTGTAATACCCTTTTTTGAAACAGATTTGCTCAATTCCTGTGAAGTCAAATTGATTTTAAGTGGCTTGAAACAAAGATTTTGGTTTATGTATACCGCTGAGTGAATACTCTGCAGTTCATTTGTGGAAGATGTTTTTGGAATTCACTTTTGTCCAATAGCAGCTAGGAAACATCTTTATTTTGTAATTCATAAACTTTACGGAACTAACAAATAACTTATATTCTAGCCTCAACAGATGGTTTTGATAACACGTAACTATAAGTGTATCTTCTTCACACCTATAGATGAAATGATGACAACTTGACAACAACAGTAGATTAAAAATATTCAAAGTTATTTTGGTGTGAAATGTGAACACGGTGATTTCGTAGGTGATTTACCCTGAAATAATTGTGTATTGATAATGTTTATACGAGTTGATCATGGATTGATACCAGTCAGAGAACCACTGAAAACCAGGGAGTACTGGACAGCAGTACGCGCTCACTGGGGTTCGAACCCAGAACCTTCCAGTTACAAGGCAAGCTCGTATACCATTTAGCCACTGAGAACCATTCCAATGCCTCATGAATCCTAACTTCTGCCAATTCGTGATTTAGCGCCACCCCAAACAATGTCATCAGTGGGAAATAATGATTTGAATAAAGTCATCTAAGTGTATTGTATTAGACAGTGGTCTTGAAAAACAATGAACAACATTAATAACAACTTTATTATTTCGTCTTACCTGAAATGGATTGGTCATATTTTCTTGTGTATGCGTACTGAATAAAATCTGACTTATAATAACAAGGATAATAAGAATCATGCCAATATTCTACAGGATACATTAGACATCATTTCTATACATATGTAATCATCTTTCAAAGTAGGCTAGAGTAGAGAAAAACAAAACAAATGGGATGTATGAAGCTCCAGTGTATCTTCATGTGCAGCTTTTGTAAATCTAAATGAAATTACAATTAACGAAAAAAATATTCATAAAACATCAGTTGTTAACTCCATATTAGATAAGTTTATTCTAAATATCTCACAGTGATGCAGTATTGACAACTGGATGACAAGGTTTCCAGCATAAATTATCGCCACTCAAAATCATATCAATTGTAGTCACATGGTTTCAAAATCTGTCTTATATATTTTTTCTCTCTATTCTGTCTCTCCAACTTTCCTCTGTTGTTTGTTGCCACTTTCCGTATCTCGGGTAAAGGCGGCGTTGCGTCATTCCGATTACATGTGTGCGGTGTTGAATCGATAAACAGAGATTCAGTGCTTAGCCTCTCTCTCTCTCCACCTATCCATGTTACTTTCTAATACTCTCACCCTGTCCCACTTTGCTTTGTAATCATATTCAAGGGAAACCTATGCAATGGCTGAGTTTTCTTCTGGGTTATTTAACTTAGTAGTGTCAATTATTGTAGGTCTGGCTAAATGCTTTTTGTTCCAATAATCTAGTTGACCCCGACCTACTAGTTTAAATGCCACCAGAAACCAACCAACTCTCTCAGAGATAAATTTGTTGGCATAAGGACCCAACACTTCCAATTAAGAAGAGTAAAATAATTTACCAAATACCATTTAATGACTGTGGGGGCAATTATTTAGGTGAAACTATTAGATCCCAGCGGCTGAATGGTCTGTGAGGTGGCCTTGCAACCAGAAGGTCCTGGGTTCGAAACCCGGAGTGTGTATACTGCCGATGATTCGCAAACTAGGATGATACGGCTGTCCAGTACTCCCTGGTTTTCAATGGTCAGACTAGAATAATTGACCCCGCTAAGTTAAATAACCCGGAAGAAAACTCAGCCGTTGCATTGCTTTCACTTGAATGTGATCACAAAACAAATTGGGACAGGGAGAGAGTATTAGAAAGTAATATGGTTAGGTGGAGAGAGAGGGGAAGAAAGGCTAAGCACTGAAGCCAGTCTATCGATTCAACACCTCACACATGTAATCGAAATGACACGACGCCGCCTTTACCCGAGATACGGAAAGTGGCAACAAACAACAGAGGGAAGTTGGAGAGACAGAATAGTGAGAAAAAATATATAAGACAGATTTTGAAACCATGTGACTACAATTGATATGATTTTGAGTGGCGATAATTTATGCTGGAAACCTTGTCATCCAGTTGTCAATACTGCATCACTGTGAGATATTTAGAATAAACTTATCTAGTATGGAATTACATTCAACCACAGTGCCCAAGTTCAACACTTACATTAATAAGTTGTTCATTCTAGTTTTCTAATATGAAGGTATTATTCTAGATAAATTCCCTAATAAAAGAGGAAAGAAATGACAGACTCAAATAAGCATTACCAAGTATATTCTAAGTTTCATAATCTCTTTAATTGCTCACATGCACTAGACGTTCTAGAAAAAAAGTCTTTCCACTTAAATATTCGTACTGTTAACAGTTTACTGCAAAATATAATGAGTGTTGTACAAGAGTTATTACTTTATTACCAGTATTATTTTAGAAATTAAAGCTCTGTGGATCGTGTTGGTCACAACTATAGAGTGTTTAAGTACAACACCTGACTTGAAAAATTATTCATTGAAGCCTATTCGCTACGGTTTCGTTTCATAGAATACTAAATTACTCAAGTAAGGTTATGACACTGAGAGCCTAAAACCACAATAGTTTATTATATGTAGTTCATTTGTCCAGTGCTAAATGCCTTCAGCTGAATTCATCGTTGTTCCTCAGTATAACTGTTAATATGGTTTTGTAAATGATGCAGGAATGTGGACTCTGCTGTATACTCCAACGGCTCTCTAACCAATGTCAGCTCATGATGAAATCCTGTAATCGATTTTACAAATGTTTGTCACCAGGAATTGAATATTTCCACAAACATGTGATTATGTAACTATGATAAGTAAAACTAACTGCAGCGTCACTCCATAACATTCAATTTCCCATTTACTTCATCACATTGCACAAAGACTGAATATAAATTATCAATTTTTTGTTATAGTTTGATTAGTCTTGACTATTTGCAAGTATTTATCCTCATTTTGATTTGACACTAGTAACTAGTGTGATGCATCTAGTTACTGGTGTCAAGTACAAATATCCACTACAGTCCCACAGGAGGTCAATCGCGAGCCCGAATAGCTCAGTGGTAACGTCTCTGACTGCAGGCGGCACTTGGTGACGCCGGTTCGAATCTCAGACGGAACATGAGTTCCTTCAAGGTTGCAGATACGCCTTCCTGAAGAGTGCCAACTAGCAGCAAACCTAGGTCCAAGGCTTCCTGTCAATTACCTCCAACCATGTTTTTATCTTCATTTTTAATTAATATATGATAAGCATACTGTCTTGAATCTATTTTCGCATCCTATTTAATTCGATTAACACCTCAAGCGGGTTCAGTTGACCAAAAGTTGTAGGTGAATGTCCCTAATCATCGAAGTGAATGAACTTGAAGAAAACTGACTCTTTCCACAATGAATGACCTTTCTTTTCGTTATGTCCTAAAGAGTAACTCCATGTAAAATTGAACTGCACTGAACTTCATTGCAAGCATGAATGAAATCATATACACAATTATGAAAACCCATCATGTTTTACAAATGATAAAAAGAATGATATTTATTTATTTTTTTATTTTTTATTTACAGCTTGATTCCACACCGTATTTTCAGTACAAGTGTGGAATTTTCAGCATGGATATATGATAACCTTGTTTTTTTAATGTGGCTATATATTCTAGAATGTTTATGCAATATAGTTGTTTTGTCTGATGTTAAGAAAGGTTTATGCATATTTTACAAAAGAGTTTATACGATAATCAGATATTTATGACACCACATAATCACAGACATGTGTAAAGCACTAAGTCTCCTGCATAGCATAAATTGAATGCCACTCACAGCTGATTTGGATACCAGCCTCATATAATAGTGAATAAATCCATCAAAATGGTTTATCTATTATTATTAAAAGGAAGCCATCTTTATTGTAAATGTTATAATCAGACAAAGTGAAGCGTTAGGTAGTAGGCTGGAGTGTAGCTTAACTATGACATATTCTGATTATCTTAACCAACCTACTTGTTGCTTCAAAATGAAAACTACCACTGGTACTATTTAGTTCTCGTTGTTTAATACCTGTTTCAAAGATATTTTCGATGACCATTTGACAGTTTGCAAATTTCTCCTTGAAACTCAACAACTGCAGCACTCCTATACTGTTAGATGTGATAATTATTATTATTCCTTAGGGTTCCGAGGAGAACAAAGAGCTTCAGCGGCACATGTTCATTTCATGGTGTTCTCTGCGGCCCTTTTTGTTGGCTTAAAGGTCGATCATATGCTTCGGTCTCCCCCACACAATACCTCCTCAGTGCCTTCCTGGGAGGCCCAACTCGTCGCTTCCCATCCATGTTCCACTCGAGTTAGTGGCATGGGACATCACTCAGTGGTGTCCTCAGCAAGTATTCCATCCATCTTCATTTTATTCTACATATTCGTTAGGCAATAGGTTCTTGATCGGTTTGGTCCCAGAGTTTCATGTCACTAGTTCTTTCTGTCCATCTTATCATTAGTATGAAGCCAGTGGTGGCAGATGTTGAGGAAATTTTGCAGTAGCCTGTTGAAACTGCTTTTTGTGATGCGTGCTCCAAGTCTGTGGACAATATCGGATCAGTGACATGACCTTGATGATGAAAATCCAAGTGTTGTTCCCTAGGTTGAGTGCGTCAGATTTCCAAACTCATTTCAGACTAATGAAAGTTTGATTAGCCTTTCCGATTCCGGCTGGTTTTTACCTCTTTATCCATGCTGTCACCTGTAGTTGAAACACCCCTTCCTGGATGAGTGAAAGAGAGAACTTCCTTCAAATGCCACTCGTTGATATCCATTGATACTTGTTGTCGACAGTCAGTTATCTTCATCGCCTCCATTATGTATATACCCTTTGAAGTCCTGCTTTTACTGTCTGCTTCCTCTGCCAACTTTTTGGTTTTCGCACGTGAATCTTTGGGTCTGTGTCACATACGACATAAATCCTGATTGAAGCCCAGTTTTTCTACAGTCTTCTTGTTCATCTTATCTTTCAGCAGCAATATAAACTGTATTAGTTTGGGTTTCTTACTACCTAACTGAAAAATACTTTCAAATTTCAAGTATAATTATTCCCTTGTATTAGTGTTTCACTATTGTTAATGAGTCAAAAGATAAAATTCAACATATATTTCTACCTGTATGTCACAGTTAATGATAAACTGTAAAGAATGTCAAGAACTGGGCAGAAAAGAAAGTAATGAATAAAAGGTAGGCACCAGCTGTCTGTTTTACTTGACATTTTAATACAGTGTATCAAAAAGAAGTCTCAGATCCTTAAAACTCTTGTGCAGTTTCATTTTATAATTGAAATCAGTATACCTGTATTAAATTTTGACATCAAAACACAACCAATAATAAGAGAGACGCCATATTTGTTGCTGAAGGACGCGTGCAATACTGTAGCTCACAAAAAAGCAGCAATTTTGACAATAATTCATTCAGAGTACTCATTTCCTGTTATTATATTCTCATATATAATTTCATTTCCTTCTTCAAGTGATATACTTATCATTATTTCAATAGTAATAATTAAGAGAGAACAATAAGCAAAAGCTTTCCGTTTCATTTCATCTCCAAATAATTATCTAACTGGACAGATGAAGTGTTTTTTACACGACTCATCATGCTATACAAACACTGGAATTAGTATATTTTTCAGTATTGAAAGGCATATTACTCCCAACAACGATCTAGGCTCATATTTCAAATTTTTACTGTATTAATGCTTCTTTTTGTCAAAAATTATTATTTATTTATTCATTTATTTGTTTTCATACCTTATTCACTTCAAAACTGTTTCGAATAAACAAAATAATAATTGAGAAATTTTTCGATAAAACAATAGGAAGGAAATCTTCCATAGAAAAAAGAAAATAATTCTTGTTCGTCACGAATGAGAAGTTATAGTTTTCTCAGCTTCAAAAACAATATAAAATATCTCCAAGGGTCGGCCGCTGTCCTTTTGTGTGTAAAAATGTCTTCCTGTTATTGTACTATACTGCACAAATGAAAATTCAATTATCTCCAAATAGCTTAACATATCGTACTGAATGGTAATAAGTTACACTTCTATTTAGGTAGTGATTTATTTTCCGAGCTTGATCACGGATTGATATCAGTTAGTAAACCACTAAATGTCAAGGAATCATCGGCAGAAAGCACTCACTGGGTTTCGAACCCAAAACCTTCCGGTTACAAGGCGAGCTCGTATACCGTTCAGCCACCGGGACCTAACTCAATGGCCCATGAATTCTTACTTCAGCAATTCCTGATTTTCGGGTGACCGCGAACCAATGTCACCGGTGAGGATTTCCATCCTCACTCCCAAATGAATGGACTTCACTGGTCATGACTTCTCACCATAACTCTAAGAAACCCCATCCTTTAACAAGTCAACACCACTGTGCCATCGACACAGTCAGATTACTTTCAAGAGTTTATTTGTAAGGATTTTATGTTTTCGAGTTCGATCACGGATTGATATCAGTTAGAGAACCATTGGTAGAACTAAGCATTCACCAGACTCGGTGGCTGAATGGTATACGAGCTTGCCTTGTAGCCAGAAGGTCCTGGGTTCGAAACCCAGTGATTTATTCGTTAATAAAATAATACGGTTTTTAGACATCATCTGTTGCTTCTATTCCCACCGGGTAAATGATTCAGAAGGGTAATGAGATGAAAAACCGTTTACTAATAATGAGAGCAGTTGATTTCTGTCATGATTTATTACAGACAACATCTTTATAAGCAAAGCATTAAGAAGAAAACTGACTATTCATTTTTCATATTGCCAAAGACAGTCTTAAGAAAACATTGAATTTTAAGCATTAAAACGTGGGAAAAATATTCCCTTATATAAATAAAACTGAATGAAAGAGAAATTACTTCCTTAGGATTTGAAGAAATGTCAATTTCATATTCCACTTACTGAGATTTCTTCACATTTCATGGTTATGATAGAATTCTGTATATATTAAATTTATTAAAATTAAACCAAGATCAAGTTGACCACACAACTGTACCAAATGATCTAAATCACTCATTGATAATTGGATTTTTTGCACAGTATTTGATAACTTTTGTCATCTGGAACATTTTCCAATTCTAAAATATAAAGATAGGAGGTTTTACTTCATTTCTGTTAGAAGTTAGGTTTGTGGATTAATTAAATAAATAATGAGGAGAGCTAAGAACTTTATGAATCGCTAAATTTATTTTTCAGTCTCTCGTGAAGTTGTGAGTCGGTGGTGCGTCTTTAGAATGTTCCCAAACCATGTAAGTGGTCCAGGGTTTTATTCCACGTCGACTCACTCCCAAACCTAGCTTATCTGATAATAAGTCCGGTAAATGGGAAAGGCCTGGTGTGGACCTGGCAGTGTTATCCCTGAAAAGATAAAATCACCACTGCTGGAACTACAAAACTTAAGCCTGAAGCCCTATGTTCCACTGGGAAGGCAAAAGAACTAAATAAAATAATAATTATTGTACCTTTGATCTATGGAATAACATATGTGTCTTCACTTTATTATATAATAGCTGTTAACTGAAGGACCAACGTTTCTTTCTAATTGATACTCTTAGGCGGTTAGTTCTTGCGTTCTACTGAACCTCTCACTCATCAAAGTAAATCCTCATCCAGTAGATTTTAAAGCTACAGGCACCATGTATATTTCAACTTGTATGAAGTGATTTTTTTTATGGATAACTTTGGTTTGACATTGGTGTCTCTGAACCAAATCGCTTGACCCAATATTAGCATACATAATGTTGAAAGTAGTGCCAAAATACTGTTTCGGATATAACTCGAAATCACGCATTTTTTGGTGGCCAACATGGAAATGGAAAAGACCAGTAAACCATTTGACATAATGCTATCTGAATAAATTATTGAATATAAAAGGGGAGTCTTATGGAACATGTATTTGCCGTTCTTTTTTGGCTTACCAACTGTTTCCTGACCAACGTTAAATAAGTGCAGTTGGATCAGGCAATAGTATGCGCTTACTGCAGTATCCGTATCCTTGCTTACCAACACCGGTTCTCCGACAATGAATACTATCATCGAAATGTAAAAGCTTGAGGTAAAGGTTAACATTTAAGTGTTTAACTTCAGTAATACGATACTGTTAAGTATGAGTTAAGGAACAATGATACCACCTCTGTTGACAAACGAGGAATTAAATATGTTTGCCCGGTGAGAATATGCAGAAGTTATAAACCTTAACTTAGCCAACGTCTGCTGAATTCCTATTGGCAATGAGCAGTTCACTCCAAAAGATTACACAAAGCACCGAAGAGGTGGGTAGAGAAAGGAAACTGGTAAGTTCTGAGATCAAACAATGAAAGCGAAAACAGATAAAGACACTTTAGGTAATTGTAGATTACAGGAAACTATCTTTTTGGGAATCTGAAATATATTTCGTTTATCTGGCTAAGGTTTCATCTCTTTTATAACAAATTCTTTGACGCTAGGAAAAGATCAGATTTTGTTTTGTTTCTAGAGGTCTCAAAATATGTAAATTACTGGGACATACTACTTTAGATAGATATTTTCATCTGTTCACTAACTTTTCCTAATCATGAACCTAAAAGGATCATCAGCGAATGAGGCTTTTCCCGAGCGAAGTCGATCCAAGACTGCTGTTCCAGATGCTTGCGACCCATTCTAAGTTATCCTTAACCGTGGATAGAATAAAAGGGTCATATCTCCCGTAAAATTCAGAATGTTGGATTATTTTTATCGAATGTTTGTTTTCCAGTCTCAGCATAAAGAAATCTTCAGGCAGAAGGTCCAGTATTAAACTTCATTTTGTGCTGTAGAAAGTCTGATATTTATAGTGTACCTATGAAAGTACTAATTTAGCTAATGAATGCGTGTACTAGTGTACAACTCATTAAGTTAATTTCATTTGCGTTTGTAACATATTGTCACTGTCAGTATGAAAAGAGAAAAAGTGTATCTGCACTGTTTAATTTCAGAACATCTAAACCATGTTAATGCGTCAGATATACACTATAACTCGATTTTGGGGTTATCTACATGCTACTTGGGAATCTACTGAAGAATGTAGGGATAAAAATTCATCAAGTTGTGGAGACAATATCTGTGCATATCTAAAGCTTGGAAAATGAATACAAACATCTTTGTCCAGTCGAAGGATTTATAACAGACTGAGCAGATAGAAGCATTCTGCATTATTTCTTCATTCCTTATATTCTGAGTAGCACACAGGTCTTCAGGCTTCTGGAGTCTCAGTAGTAGTGGTGTTGTCTTCAGAGACTGACCTCATGCCTAAGCTATCATCGTTCCGGCGCTTTCGGTGAACTAAGCGTGGGTGAAGACTGCATCAGCCGGGAAACAAACAAGGACCTTCTACGCTGCTCGTGAACGTTGTACAGTTGAACCACTGAAGCACAAGCCGTACTTAACCCATGGAATTTCGTTTACTTTTTTTCCCAAAGAATGAATCTGACTACTATACATCTTCTTTTTTCATATGATTTCATTTTCCATCTCTGAAAAATGCCTCAATCTTTTAACTACATAACATCCCCTAAGTCATCTACATAACTCTATTCATCTTAGACTAATCTTTACGACATTCAATTTGACAGATTGGATGATTTTTTCAACTGTGACGAAATTTTTTACCGTCACGTAAATATGATATATATATAAGTATAGTGCTTGAGAAAGAGTAGTTTAAAAACCATTATTTTCCAATGAATGTCTTTTGTTTTAAATAAATGAATGTCAAGTAGCTTTCCTTCATCTATTATGATAAAAGTATTTCATTCTGAATGATTATACTTCACGTATAGTATAGAACCAGAGTGAGGGTATTTTAGCAGCCCCCTTCAATTCCATCGTTACTTCGAATACAAAAGATTTAATCATATTCGCGAAGTGTTTGTTATTTTCAGATCGACTAACTGGGAGACGTAGTTTTGTGGTATGAATCTGTCGCTTTTGTTACATATCATTTCAGATCGACTTTGTGTGTACAGTCTTGCATTTAGAACAGAAAAGTTGAAACACTTTTCAACCCATTTTCTATATTTCTTAGCCAGTACTCTGACGTCATCGTTTTCCTTGGAAACACTAAATTAAATCACACCTTTCCTTCCGCTCTATAATAAAACAAATTTTCAGTATCTTAATTCAGTATTTTTTATCTGATGGACAGCGAGCTTTTGCTTACTTCGTAAAACCTTTTCAGCAAATAATCTTTTTTAATATACCTTCATTTCTTCTTTCTTTTTTAAGGTTAGTCTGCTGAACTCTATACTCTTTTCCCCCTGTGTTACAGTGGTTTCCTTTCAAATTAGTAAACAAAAACAGGTAAACTGAATTATTTAGACAACATTTTCCCATCTCCTTGGTATCTTCATTAAGTTATCTCCTAGTATAATCGATGTTATTTATTGCTGTGGAGTATTCAACTTCAGGATGAAATCATAATGGATAGACTTCACATTTTTAGTTTGGGAACAGTTAATTACTGATGGAATTGGTTGATGGTGGTTTCATGTCATGAATAGGAAGGGGTCGAAGTCTATAGATCTATTCATTTAACTCAGTGGATGAGGGATAAGCACGCTGAACTCGTATTATGGATATGCTGGCTTCGATCTTTTGTTAGTTAATAACTAAGCACCACTGAGGTGTTCTACACCTCACTCTTGATGATTCTTTCAATGAAATGAGCTATTCGACCGAAATTCACTGAAAATTAACCTTTGCATTACTTGAGTGACCAGGTGAAAAAAATGGAAAGTATATAACTTTTTCAAAAATTATATTTGTAAAATTGAAATGAGTAATTTCAACGTTTAGTTAGGCAAACTGGTCCGAACTTCTTCAGAGAAATTAATCGAAATTAACATAACAGAGGTTTATGTATAAAAAGGACATCTCTTGTTTTTAAAAACTTTTTCCAATCATATGAGTTATGAAACAGGTATCAACATGTATATGAAACAAAATTGTATGAGCTGTGATCAAAATTTAAACTCAGACTTTCATATATTAGTCTACGTTTGTTAAACACTTTAAACAGAGTGTTATTTTAATCAGATTACATTCAACTAAAAGTTCATGGTAGATACCTTTTCGTTTGACTACGTTGTCATTCTGTTAAATTTCGGTTATAACAAATGAACAATACTCACTTCCGTTTTCTACTTAAGCAATATGTATTACCTTATGTCAGTCTAACTGAAAATAGAACACTGATGTTGCTTATAACTTCGAACTCTTTAGAGCTTATCAAACCCATGATGTATAATGTTCTTAAAATAATACTGTTCACAGCTGAGGGATAAACTTATTTTTTATTTTTTTGGTTACAGCTTGATTCCACACCGTATTTTCAATACAAGTATGGAATTTTCAGCGTGTGATATCGGTAGCCCAAATTTTGCAGGCCGACCATGGACATCAGGTGTGCGTCAGCAGGGGATCGAACCTTGGACCATGTGCATGGTCGGCGAGAGTCCTAACCACTGTGGCACCGACGCACAATAAGGGCGGCCTCTTACTCGGCCAGCCATAGGCAGGATAAATTTGATTGATTATGATGTAAGCATATATAAGTATATATAACTCCTAAAGTGGAAAGAAAATGTGACAGTTACCTGACTATTTTTAGGTGTTCAGTTAAAAATTTAAGGGATGCTCATACACCATTCACATAAACCAGACGTCATTCAACAACAAAAAATTTATCACACTCACCACGTATTCATTAAGAGCAAAGTTAAAATTTCAAGCTTTGAATGGATTATATTTTGCTGAAATGTTTGAATCGACAAAGAAACATTTGCTTCAATAGAAACTTAAATATATCCTCCAATGTAATATTTTAAAGCAGAAGTTCTTTTATACAGAACCATAAGTTTATTCAGGCCAATAATATTGTTGAAAGAATCGCATTCTCTGTACATTTT